ACAGGACGCTACGACTATTCGAGAGTGGCACACTGGTACAAGGGGCTTTGCATTGTTCCTCAAGAAGCTGCCTCACCGAGTGGCACGCATCAAGTCCATCGGTAGAGTGACATCATGCCGAACGCGGAGATGAAGGGCAACATATGGCCACTTCGGACCGGTATCCGTCGTTGAAGGCATGCCGCGAGGTTCGATACCTAATCGGGAAAGACCGGCTACTTCGGTGTGGCTTGGAGCGAAGCGCGCGCTTGGCCGAGTGGCGTTAAGTGGCCCTATTGTTCGCCGAATGCGGAAGATGTCCCGGGATCTACGCGCGAGGCATCGGGACGACCGTGCCGAGCTTCGAGTAAGCGTCGCGCACCGTCGAAGGTGTCGAAGAGCGTCGAAGGCGAAATCGAAGTGTTGGGAGACTGAGTCGAAGTGCCGGGCGGGATGTGAGTGCCGAAAAGAGGTGTATCGGGGCCCAGCGGGGCTCGGCGCCTATCAGCGGGTGGGGCTGGTGGTAGTTTGATGTCTGGGATTTCGATGGGAACGTACTGAACTTCAGGGAGTTCGAGTGGTTGTTCGTTGATGGGTGACTGCACGCTTTCTGCTGTTTGTATAGGTTCGACGTCGATTCGTAGGATGGTGAATATGTCTTCTGGATGAGCGGGTGGGTGTCTCTGGTAGTAGCTAACAAGTTCTTGGTGGGCGATGACTTGCGGGTTTGGACCGGTAGCACGACACCAGGTGCCGCCTCGAGGGTAGATGGGAGCCCTTTTTGTGGAGGTGACGAAGCAGCGGTCAGCTCGGTCGTACTGGAGGAGCGGTGATCCTGCGAGGGCTGGTAGTCCCAAAGGAACTGGGTTGACTGCGTTGTTCGACGTGATGGTGGATGAGATGTTTGACTAGGTAAAACTAGGAACGTAGCTTAGAAAGTTCGACCTTTTGATACAACGGTCTATACTCCTATATCAATGCCTGACTCGTAGACGACAAGCAAGGGCTTATGGACAGTGCATCGTCCTGAAGATCGATCGAGGAAGTCGAGAATGACCACTACCCCAAGTGAAGAGGAGCAGAGATTTGAATGAATAACTAGGTCGAACTTAGGGTTCGACCAACTAATGGTACAACTACTTATACAAGTACCGACTGCGCACGGACCATCGTGTCTATGTGGTCGTGTTAGTGAAGAAAGAAACGTAGTGGTACGATGCCGAGTACGAAGTGCGCACGGACCCCATTATGTAAGCTACATAATGTTCAACCTGCGGGTGAGCGCTAAGACAGGTGCCAGTATGGGCGCTAGTAGTACAAGGAATAGAACGGAAAGACAAATGTTTCAGTGCAAGTATGTAAATTTAGATTCTGTAGATGCACACTTTTACTCACACATACAATTGGAAGATCCCAGCAATGATAATCTTTCTGAAGAACAACCTGGGAGTAGCACCAATGATCAAAAGAAGGAGTGGTATCCATATAAATCAAAATTGGTAAGTAAGTATTTCTACTCTCAGCCTTTTGTCTAACGAACATACAGATGTTTCTGTTGGACATGTTGGACAACCTTCCTCATTTACGAGTATCAGATTCACTCATGCGAGTATTTCTGTGGATACTAAATGAAGTTGATGTGTGTGGAGTTCCTTCATTATACCGGCTGCATCAAGTACAAAAGGAGCTCCGCACAAAATCTGGTGTTTCAACTCTCGCATGCAAATCACCACAGGGTAATGTATTCTATATGAATGATGTATGCACTATTGTATCACAGGTACTGAACACAGTGAGATTTGAGTTCTGTTTGCTAATATTTCATTGAAGGACTGGGGAAATCCTCTCACTAGACCTCACATTCATGTGTATCCCAAAAGGTCTGATGGTATTGTCAGTGAGGTCTGGCATGGTAAAAAGTGGAACTCAGAAATGGATCTCGATGCCCTCAGCCCAATGTGGGATGCGGGGCAAGGTCGCCACTTTTATGTTCAAGAACTGGCGCGTCTGTCCAGCAGAGAGTATGTGATCCCGGTTCGGTGGTTCACCAAATGTGGAGTAGTACATGCAGATGCTTTCAAAGTTGAGATCACTGAGGTGCGTATATTTGTGTGAAGCAAGTGATAATTCTCACCGGTTATGATCTAGCAGTCGAAGCTTGCTTGTGTTGATGACTCTACCATCATCCTTATTGCTGCAACAGAGTTGCAGCTTAATCTATTTGATCTATGTGCAAAAGGACTGGTTCCTGACTTATGGGATGGTATGTCAAGCACTTGGTTGTGTGATATGAGCTTTACATGTACTAATGGATTGCAGAGTATGCTACCACAAAGGGATATCCTCAAGGCATGCCCAATCCAATTCGAGACTTGGTGCAGGGTGATCTGATATATACCAGCCTAATTGACTATTTCAGTGATGATGTTTCAGGCAATCAATCTAAATCATGGAACAAACATTGGAATGCATATCTTACACACCGAAATCTTCCCCGTCGCCTTTTACAACAAGAATATCATGTCCATTTCCTTTCAACTTCAACTCATGCATCAATACCTGAGCAATACAGGGATTTCAAGAAAGTCTTGGAGTGCGTACTTATTACTGAGGTATCCCAGCATAATTGTCAACTTGTTTTGATTATATATTTGTTAGGTCTACTCACAACAATCCCATCAAGGTTATGGATGCTTCTACTAAGCAGGTAGCACAAATTCGTTTGTTTGGTAACAGCAAGCCATTGGATAACCCTATGCAGAGTGAGATTTGTTCCCATATTGGTGGACAAGGCAACATGTTCTGTCATCGATGTCACGCAGGGGGGACACAAATTGAGAAGGCCAGTGATGATGGCTATCATTAACTGTTTATGGTTTGTTTTCATTTGCAATTATACATTACATATTGACCGATAACCTTTACTAGTGTTCACAGCCTTGCAGCAAAGAAGAAATAATTGTAGAAATCTGTTTGCAGCTTGAGGAAGCATGCACTGGCATTCAGAGCCGTGTCAAGGATCGCCAGACACAAACAGGTATCAAGGACTCATATACACAGTTCTGGATTGACAAGTTGATCCATGAAGCCCATGCCAAACAATCAGCAGAACCACAGTGTTCCATACAAGATATACAACATGAACTTATGCAACGGGTCCAGGAACACACCAATGAGATCTTCAGTCCATTTCTTACTCTCAAGGGTAAATTATGTGTTTTTGGATATGAGTTTGCTATTAAAACACCATTTGTCTCCATCAAAAGGTTTTGATCTGACAACTGACACCCCTATTGAAATTCTACACACCATCTTGCTTGGTATTGTAAAGTATGCATGGCATCCTACACATACAAGCTGGAATTCCACACAAAAACAGCAGTATGCCCTCCGACTTCAAGCCACAAACACTGATGGACTTAATATCCATGCAATTTGTGCCAACTACATTATGCAGTACACAAACTCTTTGATAGGCTGCCAATTCAAGACAGTTATACAAACTGCTGTCTTCCATGTATATGATCTTGTTGGCCCCTTCGAGTTTCGCATTTGGAAGTCTGTCGGTGACCTAGCAGTGCTGGTATGGTTTCCCGAGATATTCAATCTCACTGAATACATTGTATGTGGATTTATCTGCTATTCAATGTCACATTGTATGATATTAACAATGATGCAGGGTGACTTGAAGATAGCAGTCGGTAATGTGCTTGATGTATTCTCAGAGCAAGATCCATCAAAAATAACAAAAAAAATCAAACTTCACTTACTCAACCACACGGATGAGGACATCAAACGCTTTGGCCCACTCGTTGGTGTCTGCACGGAAGTCTTCGAGTGTTTTAATGGCATCTTTAGGCAATGCTCAATTTTGTCAAATCACATATCCCCGAGCTGTGATATTGCCTACCAACTTGCAGATCAGGAAGGTTTCAAACAGCATGTCACTAGTGGTTGGTGGCACAACAATAATCTCGGCTGGGTTCAAGCAGGACCTGGTGTGCAAAGCTTTTTGACATCTCAGCCACTGTTGCAACAACTTATTGGATGGACTGAAGATAAGCCACAGCCGGGTATGTTTGGACTAATGATTCTATCAATATCCCTCTTACGATTCTTTGTAGGAACTTTCAAATTGATGCCATTTGCTTGAGGCAGTCATGTTCGCCAATCAAATATTCTTGCTAACACAAGTGCAGTGAATGCATTAAATTACACACAGTATGCTACTCAACAGGCATATATGCTCTGTCGATCATTTGTATCCCGTCATCAAGACTGCTGCATCAAGAATTCATGGGTCTTTGCAGACTCACCACTTGAGGCAAGTTTTTCATGCTGCGAGAACATTCTGCTATCTGAATAATATTTACAGGAAGTGATAGTCATTGGTCAGGTCAATGAGATTCTCATGCAAGCAGGAGAACAAGAGCCCCTTGTGGTTCTAGATGTTTTTGAAATATCAAAGAAGCAGCATGAAATATTTACTATGCCATTTGTTGAATGTAGGCAGGGGGAGATGTTATTACTTATTGTCAAGGCCTCGGTGAGTGATATTCACTATCTGCTACTAGTCAATTCATACCGCAAAACAGGCTGTAAGATTTCAGATCAACGTTCAACATGATTGTGTGCACGGGAAATGCACAGTTTCGGGACGCAAAGTTCACATTCAGGAACACCAAGAAACAAGTATAGGTATATGTGTTATAATCATGCAAAAATACCAGTAGCATACTTGTAGTGTCGTCATCAAATACAGCCCGAGATCTGGTGCAAATGACTGTGATTTTACATACACACACTGGAGCGTGGCCACAACAGCTACTGTAAGGATAATATATGGTTCGCTACTATGCTAACACAAGAAAAGACAAATAACGACACCACAGGGACACCAGCCGAGTCCGTTAGGGCATTACATCCGGGGACAGAAGGCTTCAACATGTGGTTTCTGGGTGGACGACATACTTATTCCTGCTAATAAACGTAATGAGGCTACACAAAGGGTATGTATAGTGCTGATATGTGAACAATAGCACGGCCAAGCAGCACCACATGTGGCGGCTATGCGTGTTGGCAGATCTGGCTGCCACCCGAGCACCAATTGGCGGTGTAGGCACTTGAGTGGTGCACGTGACACATGGTTGGTTCTCCTCGCTACACCGCCAATTGGCGCTCAGCTGGCCACGATCTGGACCCAAAATATGGAGCCCATCCCAACACCACATCTATATCGGGTCACAGCCAGATCAGATCCAGATGGCGGCGATGTCTGGCCACCACATCTTCCCCAGACAATAATGTCCGTCTACTAGGTCGTCTCCAGTTTCATCTCCGGCTCTCCTCCAGCTATGCGCGTCAATAGGTGGGGCTTGACGTCGCTTTCTCCACAATACAAAACACAAGATCACTCAGTGCTTCGCACATCGTCTTCCTTCGTCTTCACTACCACACCACGCAACTCTGTTACCTGCGCATTCAAAGGTTATCTTCATCGCTGACATGAGACATGACTCTGAATAGGTATGTCTCATAATAGATCAAACCTCGGCAGACACTCTCGAGGTCCTGACCTTTGTCAAGTGCATTCATTGCACTGGCAGGCATCATGGTCATGGACCTGAGGTGAGCATGTCTCCATCCAAGATCATCCCGATGGCTGAGGGGTGTGTGGTTAATAGCAGGAGGCCAGAGATACTCAGTGAGCACACCTTCTGCCCATACTGTCGCAAGCTGAGCCCTGAGGGCCTGTCACTCTTTTCCGAGATACACTCACACATCTGCATTCAGGTCTTCACACAACATAACTACTTTGCGTGTCCAGTTCATTTCTTCGTGAATACGCCTGTTGATAATGTGAGCTGCTTGCTTGAAGCGTGCGAGTAACTGTGTGCGATGGTTATAGCTGGAAAACCTCGAGAACCCTGCCGATCCTGACTGTGATGGACCTGGTGAGGTCGGATTACACTTATCTGTGTCGACAATTTTATTGCCTGCTAGCTGATGTTTCATACTCTCCTGTGCAGAAAGCGCGAGCTCTCGTGGTTCACAGCCCATATATAGGTGTGTCACGTAGTGCATTGACAGCATCCTCAAAAGCAGGGTTGTACAGGCAGTTGGCGACAGCGCTGCTGGCCCGGGGCCGCTAAAAGGAACTAATGTATATATCGTATATCTTATTGCTGTCGACCATGGGCATCACTACCGAGATTTGAAATGAAATTGATTGTATTTGGGTGTGCGCTATGTACGATGGATGTGGGCTACAAGCGCGCTGTCTGCCGGCAGATCAGTGAGACGCACTTGAGAACCAAACTACAAGCAAATGAATATCATGTCTTCACACATATGTGATCCGTATAGTGACGAGGGATGCGCCATCTTGTAAATAGCTGGAATCCAGGCAGAACGAACAATGGAGTAGAGCTGTGGAGTGAGGTGGTCACCAGATGATGCCACCAGTCGTATGCCAGGCCGTCTGGCCTGGGACTGGACCCATAGGCAATGTGCTTAAGCTTTTCAGCTGTACCCATGTGGATACCAGCTGACGGCGACGGACTGGCCAGAGGTCCGCCTCCATGTGGCCACCAGCTGGGTGCCGATTGGCAGTGTACCCAGACAGTGCCATGCACTGCATGCGGTATTCGATTTTCTGGTACAAGAAATCAAATAAAAATCGAAAGAAAGGTGAATTTACCTAATCAGTATTCCGGCGCCTAATATGGAAATGAAATCGAAGAAAAATCGATTATGTAATCCATTTTCCATTGTCTCTTTCAATTTTTCTTTGATCTTCATTCAATTCACTGCATGCGGTATTCAATTTTTTAGTACAAGAAATCAAATAAAAATCGAAAGAAAAGTTAATTTACCTAATGAGTACTCTGGCGCCTAATATGGAAGTGAAATCGAAGGAAAATCGATTATGTAATCCATTTTCCATTGTCTCTTTCAATTTTCCTTCGATTTTTCTTCAATTTCCATTCAATTTCTACATCAGTAAGATTCAATAGGTGCTATTTGCTTTTAATTCAATTATGATTTGATATTTTGTGCAGGAAAATTGATTCCTGCATGCAGTGCGAGACTGCCTGTGAATGATGGATACTAAGGTAGGGCTAAGTCACTTTCAACCAACATCACGTGCCCGCCGTTACAAAATCATGACAAAAGCGCAAATTATGTTTGCAAATCTAGCAGACAATTAGAAATTGGAGAACAGGATAATTTGCGGAGGACATCGTTGCACAAAAACCTGTTTCTCGATTTGTGATCAAGTGCGAGGAGCAATTGAAGATAGATTTGCAGTGTACCGGAGGAAAGAAGCGCGCTCTATTCGGCAATGCCCTCGATAGACGGATGCAACTCTCGTGCAGCGCTCCCGAAGGATAAGTCCTTGGTCACAAGAAGTCACAAGCACGTGATGTTGGTCGAAAGTGACTTAGCCCTACCTTAGCGACGTGCTTGCGATATATAAATTAACTGCAGTGTGACTATAAAGACGTCATTTCAATACAATACATGTGTCCTGAAAGAATTGGTCAGGAACTAGCTCACAAGCTCGGGTGCGGTATATTGTCCGCTTGCGATGTACGTACCACATGCTATTGTCCCTTACGGACATCGCTACGCCTGTAGACAAACATGCTCGCTGAACAAATATATAATGATCTGTTCTCTTTTAGAGTATCATCTCACCAACGAGTCGTAGTACATCGTAGGACACTGCAGGATCAACTAGGGTGGGAGCTACCTACCAAAAAAGGCAGGCATTCCGCAGACGAACGAGAGTTGAGCAGCCCTATTGCCTGTTATGGCCTATATAACATACATCGCAGTAGTGAAGTTGAGCGGCTAGCATAAGACTGCGGTCAATTTTTTCAGGGTGTACTCAGGCCTATAATGTCATCTGAGGATGTTCAAGAGGATCTGTGAAGCGGGAGAGCTGTTTCTAAATGTCGGGACATCCATGCGATCCGGCGTGACATGGGCGCGTTTTATTTGACCGATTTGCGGTCGGCGATGACATTATCCATTTTCGCAGTTCAAAATCTGCCGTGACCGTGACAAATGAACTCCCGGCCCTGTTCAGAGGTGCCCGTGACCCGTGACCGAACACTAGGTCGAGTCGATACAGTACTGGCCATCTATAGGGGGCCATCCGCTGGTAAATCATAGTACTGTCACCCATTAAGTAACAACATAGGTATCATCCATGTTTATTGTCACACTATGGCGACTAGTGATACTGTGAGAGAAATCGCTGCTTCACGCTGCCAGCGGATGTGCTGAACTACTCCTATAGTGAGTGCCATCTCCGCCTGATACCATATTGAAGGCTTAGGCTTATGTTGCTTTCCCAGTACTCGGTATCATCTCTTCGTCAATATGCATCATCGTGCGACACTTCTCAAAAAGATATTCTCTTCCTTGCCATGATGGCGTGGCTGTCAGCGTCTCTTACCATCCTATTGAGGAGTCCTTTCTATCGTATCGTTGGGCCATCGCCGAAAACGATGGTCACTCATTCGTTCAGTCCAATTGCTCAAAATGCGTCGCTCAGGCGAGCCCCTTTGATGTCTTCCTCTGTCTGATGATTTGGGGGTTCTTGTTCTGCCCAGCATCTTCGAAGACGGGCTCGGGCGCAGTTACTATCGCATCTGAGCGCTGAAATACGCTTCGTTCATGGGACCTCAGGCTCAAGAAATCTCATTCAGAAGTCTCAGGAGATTGTCCACGACGGGATAACCAATCTCAAATGCTGGCGCCGAGAAGTTTCTGTCAGGAAGCATTCACCATATTTCTCTTCTGATTGTTCTACCGCGCGGTTCAATAACGTTGTCTCTTGTTCTTAAGTTAGATTGTTGATCGGTCGTCCTTCCGAGTGAGGTTTTTGTCATCGGCTGTATAATTGTTCACTTATCCTTATTTGTAGTTTCCAATGACAGGAAACGCCGCCAGCGGAGAGCGCACACAAAGCTGAGTATCCCTCTAGCTGGAATAGTGTTTGATAATAGCAGCTTGTCACCCCCCACCCCTCCTTCCTCACGTCCAACCTACTATGTTGTTCATATCCACTCTTGTCGCAGCCGCAATAGTATTGGCGGTGTACGCACTATGGTTCACACCTGTCGGCGGTTTTAATGGACCGCGTGCATGGCATATCATTGGTATGGTAGGCCGGTTCGTGTAGTGAACCGCAGGTGGCTAACGTGATGTACCATACAGGAAATACGTTGCAAGTTCCGGCTGACGGCCTATGGCGATGGTCGATTCAGCTCTACAAGGAGTATGGTATGTGTAAGAAAGCACGAGTCTTAAGTTTGATCAGTCATAGGCGGATTATTCTCAGGGGCTATCGTACACCTTCGACTTATGGGGGACGATGTCCTCATTTTGAACAACTCATGTGACGCCGAGGAACTAGTCAGTCACTATCATTATCCTTAGGCAGAGACTAATTCTTGGTACTTAAGCTGAACAAGCGTGCCATTCATTATTCCGGGAGGAAAAACAGCATATATCTCGAATATCGGTCAAACGGGAAGCGTATGCTACTCCTGCCACAAGGCGACGAGTTACGCTCACAGAGGAGGGCGATGAAATTCATGTTCCGTCCTGATGGTGAGTAGCGGTCTGGATGCAATTTTGTTTGCACGTGGTGATGCCTTTCCGACATTCGCAGCGCTACGCGCATACCACCTGAGACAGGAACAGCAGGCTCGCGGTCTCTTGAACGATTTGCTACTGGACCCCAAGAACTATGCAATCGCTCTCAAGCGCTTCAGTTCCGGAATTATCATGGGGATATGTTACGGAAAGCGTGTTGATGAGCACGACGAAGATCTCAAGGAGATTCTGGAGTCAAATCGCACCTTAAACCAAGATGTAAGAGAACGGTCATGCCTCAACGACATGACCATTGACAAGCTATGATAGGCATTACCGGGCGCACACCTTGTAGAGTAAGTCGCTTACACCACGCGTAATGTCGTGAGGATAATGTCGTGGCTGTAGCCTTTTTCCGATCCTCGATCATCTGCCGGACTTCCTTGCTCCTTGGAGGAAAGACGCACGGGCAAAACATGTGCATGAGAGTTCTGTGGGCCTTCTATCATTTTGATTTTTATATATAACTAATGTTCTTACCCATAGCTATTTTGTCGTCTGGCAGATGCCGTCCGCACCCGCATGCGGCAAGGCACGGCGTCGCATTGTCTCATCGCGCAGTTGTGGGAGCAGCAGTCCGGTCTCGCCCTGGACGACAAATCTGTAGCCTACGTAAGTCGTCTCGTGCTCTCCAATGGATACTTCTTGTGACTTTTATTGCAAAGCTTGGCGGCAGTGCTTTTGAGGCGGGGTACGTATTCTTGCGTATATTCATGGTGCCATTTAAACTGACTAAGGTCCGTTAGGACACAAACAACCGGATGTAGCCTTCACTCATTCCTTGCGGCATGCCTCATTTGGCCAGAGATACAGACGATCGCTCAAACCGAGATGGACAAAGTACTCGGTGACGCGCCCCCCACGCTCTCTGACATGATGCAGCTCCCACTTGTATTCTCAATTGTCAAGGAGCTGATCAGATGGGCACCAGTCACTCCGCTCGCCTTCCCTCACATGGCGGAGTGCGACGATGAATACAAGAGGGTCAAAGTGCGCATCGCCGTAAACCATTGTGTCTGGTCCGACAGAAAGGGGCTTATGGACTGAGTTGCTTCTGCATATTCGCGCGGGAACGTTGGTCATTGTAAATAGCTATCAGTCCGTGACGGATAGTTACAGTGCTGACAGGCCTGATTTAGCCCGCAATCTGGAATATGCAGCACGACTCAGAAAACTTCCCTCACGCGGACCGCTTTGACCCCTTTCGATTTTATGATCCGAACGATGAGTGCTGCGTGCGAAAGGACGCTTCATTGATCGACGACTTCTGGACATTCGGGTACGGTGACTCCCTACTCATTTGTGACTATGATCCTCCTAACGACCTTATTTCTGCAGTTTCGGTCGTAGGTTTGCACATTTATTCTTTACGATTATTTATTTTCACTGACATCACCCCAGAGCGTGCCCAGCCCGATACCTTGCCGTCAATTCCATGTGGATTGCTGTCGCAAGTCTTTTATGGGCCTTCAAATTTGAACCGTCGCGGGACCATAAGACGGGGGCTCTTGTCAATTACAATCTCGGGGATCTGAAGTGGCAGACTGGTGTTAACATGTATGACTCTGTGGTCCGTGCATTCCATCGTTACTGACACACCAATGTGAATCAGAGAGCCATGCATGATACCGCTGGAGGTATCCTCCCGCTCCCCCGTCCATTCCAGGAAGATCAGGGAAGAATGGGCAGAAATTACGACGCAGCAGTAGAAGTCACACTAGATTGGTGAATGGGTCCGTGATTCGGTCATCCTCGAAGAACCTTGATACCATGTACCTCCGCTCATTAGTAAACCGACATTCCCGCTTATACAAAATAACACTCCTGGTGACTTTTCGGTCAGCTCGCGAGATCTGAACAGAATTGTTGTAAAACAACGGGTACAGGCACTTCGCAGCAGTCAACATAGATTGCTGAAGTAGATAAAGTGTAGCCAAGGAACCGTAGGCAGGCCCTACAAAAACATGTATTATGCACAAATCTACGCACGGAGACAAAGCACATCACGTCAATGATCTCCATTTTGCAGTGCAGTTTCATCTTTGGAATATCCAGTATCCTTTCTGGCTAGCCGCAGCCGGAAGAGTCCATCGTTGCACATGATCCAAGCCTTTCAGAATATTATTTCTCGTCTCTTTGTTGAACCTCTGAGTAATTAGCTGTCAATCTCGCAGTGCTCGATAAATCACTCCATTCCATGTGTCTAAAACCGTGTTCCAACCTTGAGGTGCACATCGCTCCTTAGCAGCTGACTTCATACATATCTCTCTAAAGGCCTGCAGTATCTAGGAGAAATCAAAGACAGAGCAAAAGGAGACACACTACGTGTTCTTAGGTTACCGAGCACATCAAGCACGATGAGCTTGTACGCGATAATCACAACGACTTGTTTTCCCTAACCTCTTCCCACTCTCGCAGTATAGTCTCTTCATGACGCTTAGATCTCGCAGTAACACGCAAAGGTAAATTGATGGGTTTGCTGAAGAGTAGGACGTCAGTGCAACAGGACATGAGCTGACTGAAACGTTACGGACGAAGACATGCCAGAGGTGCAGTTATCTGGGTCGACAGCGGTGGGATTGCCTTCTGCATCCAACGTAGGTTCAATGGTAAAGGCCCATAAGAGTCGCGTGATACCAATCCAGATTGTCTTTGATCCAAGATGTTGGCCTGGGCAAATCCTGTAAACAACAAGTTGAGTCTCTCGTGCTAATCAATATGTTATGTCTCGATCAGAGCTCACCTGCGGCCGAAGCCAAATCCATAATGTCCTTCAGTTAGGGATTCGGGCTCGTCACAGCCTCCTTGGCGTAAGAATCGTTCCGGCTCGAATCGACCGGGATCTGCAAACTCCTTTGGATTGCGGTGCTGAAACGAATGAAGTAGTGACACCAAATTTTGGATCCCGGTAGCGTACCATGGACCAGACACATGGTATAACCATGGTCTTTGCTTTTATCTGTACGACATGAAGGGCTGATGAGGATATAATGGTTATTATAATATAGAAAACGTACGAGGTATCCTTTGTACTCGTCATCAGTGTCTGAGTAATGAGGGAAGCCGCCTGGTGCGACAGGAGACCATCGGAACACCTCTTTTACCAGTGCTGTACAGTATGGGAGGTCTTTCATATTTGCAAAACAGGGAAGCGTCTTTCCATCCGCTCCCAGAATAGCGTCGAGCTCCCCTTGCGCCTTGCGCATGGTGTCGGGATATAAAAGCATTGCCATGAGAAACCATTGGAATGTTCCAGCAGTTGTATCTGTACCAGCTTCAAAGGCAGAACCTGCAACTGGTACCCACTATCAGGCGAGGTCTCGAAGAGCATCCACGAGATCCTACTGTAAGCGATATCCTTGATGTCTAGGCCGAGATCTCGTTGCTTTTCCCATAATCGCGCCGAAAAACATTCTATGCCGAAATTCCCCTTCAACATCTCTTCGTTCACTTCCAACACAAGCCGGATATAGAGCTGTGGTATATTGAACATATAGCTTGAGCATATATGTCTCAAGTATTTACATACCTTCATCTCTTTTTCGTGCTTTGTGCAAGCCTCCGTGCGCCATGGTGCTAGGAAATCTGGAAGCCGATCTAATATGGGTAAGGTATCGACTAGGTGCGCTCCGGGGTACGTGTCTTTCGTGAAGTTGTCAAGCACTGCGAGAACGGCGTTCAGATCTTGCCCATCATTGGGGAGTCGCCTTCCATAGCTCAAGTAGAACACCATTGCCGCAGCGAACCGTTTGCAATGCATATCAGTGTTTTCAGGTCTAACGAGAAAGTCAAGCAAGAACTTTGTTGATTCAATTTCTTGCATAAATTCATAAGCACCGACGACTGCGTGTGTTAATCAGTATCATTGATAAGCAAGTAGCGGCATCATACCTCGAGGTTTCAGCATTTGATGAAATGCTGCTCTTTGCTGTTTCAAAGCTGTACCGTAGGGGAGTAATACCAGACGTTTGTTTTGCGACTGATATTTCCCAGCGTAGATAAGCTGCTTCCTAGATGAATAATTGTGCGAACGGTGAACAAGCTGTGAGAATAATTGTCGTAAGGTAGGTTAGAATCAATAGACAGTGTAGTGTACACATACTATCTCTTCTGCATCCTTCGCATCGCTAAGGACCACGGTATCGTTTCCCGCAAGCGACAAGCGCACGACTGGACCTAGTTCTGCCATGAGAGATATGAAGAATGGACAGGGTTATTTGATAACCACCATATTTTTGAGACAGCCAGTGAAAGTATCGCCATGTGTGCTGGTTTGGAACCTGAAATGTATGTCCGATGAAAGGAAACGCGTTTGGTCCAGGTGGGTATGGTGCCACTTGCAAAGTTCGGCGCCGCATCCATATCGCTATTATCCATGCTGTCGAAATGAGTAAGCAGTATACGAGTGCATTCATGATCACTAGTCGACCTATTCAGAAGATGGTTTCGGGAGGGTCGTTCATAATCCCTATATACACTCCGGGGGATACATCAATTTCTTCTTTCGAACGACTGATGGGCGCTGCAAGCATGATAGATAGTACCTTGGGGAACACGCAGCCGTGAGAGAAACGGTGATACTGAGATCTAGGGGTTATTAGGGCTGGTCACAGCACGGATTCGAGCGCGGATTCGAGCAGATTTCAGCTCAGATTCCGCGCTAGATTTCGCGCCTCGGTCGATGACCGAGTGTATGCGGCATTGTCCGCGCACTGCCCAAAATGAAAATATGTGTCTCAATTACCGCCCGTTTTTGGAGGGTATTGAGTTTGTTCAATTCTTGTCCCTGTTCGTTCGTGTGGCAGTCCCAACTTCAGCGGCCGGTGAGCTCCAACCGCAGGTATCATGTGACTCATCCCCATGCACCAAGCAGATCGTAAAATAACCCACGCCCCCAGCCACTGCATGCAGGAATCAATTTTCCTGCACAAAATATCAAAGCATAATTGAATTAAGAGCAAATAGCACCTATTGAATCTTACTGATGTAGAAATTGAATGGAAATTGAAGAAAAATCGAAGGAAAATTGAAAGAGACAATGGAAAATGGATTACATAATCGATTTTCCTTCGATTTCACTTCCATATTAGGCGCCAGAGTACTCATTAGGTAAATTAACTTTTCTTTCGATTTTTATTTGATTTCTTGTACTAAAAAATTGAATACCGCATGCAGTAATTTGTATCCAATTTCTACATCAATAACATTCAATAGGTGCTATTCACTTTTAATTCAATTTTGATTCGATGTTTTGTGCAAGAAAATTGATTCCTGCATGCAGTGATGGAACTGTCACAACGTACCACCTTTTACACACAGAAATATAGAGTAAAAGATTGCGATCCATTCGAGACTAAAATGATGAGAATTGGTGCACTATTGAACGACTTACAGCACACTTAATGCTGCGAGTGCGAAAAGTGCTCAGGCGCTTGTAGCAGACTCTTTGGCTTTGTTTGTCCCCGGCGAAAGCGACGGCTCACCCCCCATGCACTGCATGCGGTATTCAATTTTCTAGTACAAGAAATCAAATAAAAATCGAAAGAAAAGTTAATTTATCTAATCAGTACTCTGGCGCCTAATATGGAAGTGAAATCGAAGGAAAATCGATTATGTAATCCATTTTCCATTGTCTCTTTCAATTTTCCTTCGATTTTTCTCCAATTTCCATTCAATTTCTACATCAGTAAGATTCAATAGGTGCTATTTGCTTTTAATTCAATTATGATTTGATATTTTGTGCAGGAAAATTGATTCCTGCATGCAGTGATGTCGATATGCTCGCTTCGCTCGCAAAAAAATTCGACGGGTCCTATTTCGGCAGTTACGTCTTAATCGCACAGTTTGCATGCAGCAGCATGACGAGTCTGCTCGAGGCGGTTGGAATATCCAAAATCCACCGTAAGGAGGCTAGCATGCTAACAGACGAGACTATTCCCTCCATCAAGCTACGTGTTGCACCCTAAAACTGTCACGCTCGGGTGAAAGATTGTCCACGGAAGCCTCGAGTCAAGTTGTTATTTTCCGGTTTTGCCGGCGATCCTGTCTGTTCTATCAATGTGTGCGTATGATGGTGATACAAGGTACGTTTTTATATCATATTGCAGTACTGAAGCGTAATCGGCGCGACATGATAGGGCCTGCGAAGAGCACAAGGTCATGTCCTGCAAGAATCGCCGCGAATGGCCCCTTCTAGCCTGAGCCTTATTGCAAGGACACGTCAACGCACACAACGCTGTATAACATCTGAACAAAATACCTCGAGCTCTAAAGTACGCTGTGACACTTCCATGAGTTGCTATAAAATTTCAAAACAATAAAGGTAGCATCGTTCAGAGGCAACCCGTTCGTCTCATGCAGTAGCGTGTTATTTTCTTGAGGTCTCAAGATAATCAGTCGCAATCTCTCACATGGTATCATTGACGTTTGCGATTAGCAGTTCTTGCCGCACTGTGAACAAAACTGCCTAACGCAATGTGACCTTTTCCCCACCGGTTTAACGATATCGGCAAAACGAGAAATTCAATTATTTCTGGCGCGAGTTCTGCACTGCGTGCTATTCCGCCGTATGCCTTCAATCGTCTGTCGTCCTGTGCGTGTGATGCAGTTTATTCAGGTGGCTATACGATACGCAACTTACGGCGAGGGCGCACGTAGACTCTGGTAGATAAGGTTATGGTCATAACGAACCTATTGACGGCTGTCGTCCTATGCTAATGTGAGTAGTAGTATTCCCTCTTTCGTGATGCAGCGTAGCTAAGATTCTACATGGAGCGGCAGTAGCATCATGGTTAGCAGCTGACTTACCCTCTACATAACAGATACTGTGAGTCACCAAGACGGACGTCGCAGCTGGCTATCATCCCGCTTCATATAGCTTGATGGGACTTACTCATCAACGGGCATGGATGCAGAATGGGGACCTTTCCACTAGCGCCGTCCGTCCATCGTTGTACGCCCCACTTCTCACTGGCTCTTCGCTACAAGAATTTTGTGCCATGGGCAAGAAGTTTTTCATCGGCAGGTACGCTCAATGTAGCATGCCGCCAAATGGGACCGGCTCCCAAGTGCCACTATATCCGTAGAAGATTCACAAATACTCATCTGGTGACCCTTCATAAGCATACGGAGTATTCGTATACTGCAGTCAACCGATACGTTGTACACTGGCTGAGACGCGATACGGTCACGGTTTGCTTGTGTACAGCGCGCAACATTTATCTCTGTTCATTTTCGGACTCAGCACGTGCACAAAAGGACAAGTTGTGGCTTGACCCCACTGCCACTCTCTCACCACTTCCACAGTTACTCCCCGCAATCCCACTGCGTATTATTGCCCTCACTGTTGATACGTTTACCTCGATTTATACGATGTCTCACGACGTCCAGAACAATGCCCGCCAGCGGTACGTCGCGCTTTGACCCGCGGTGAAACCGGCGCATTGACATGGTCCGCTTTGACAGCTTCTACCCGGGACAGCCCCTGTGCCCCCAGGCCATGGCAGTCCCCCCGGGTAGTCCACTTCTCATCCAGACCCCACCGCAGCCTTTCGTTGCCGGGGATCTCTTCCCCTGGTTTCCCACAGATGTACTCAATATGCCACTCCGCTCGGTGGCGAACGCCCAGCACTTCATTCCCGCCATCACCGCACCGCACGTCTTCCAATGTCACCAGCGCAATTCGCGAACTCGCCAGCATGTCTCTGGACAGCATCAGCCTGGCTACGTCCACGCACGACAGCCTGAGAATCCTGCAGCCAGCCATCAGCAATCCCTACTCGCAGAAACCACTGAATCCGTATACAACCCTCAATTTTATGGTGGCGTTCATGTCGAAAATGTACCAGTTTCATAGTGAGTGGATGCTCACGACATATCACCACTTATGCAGCCGTTGAATTCATTGTAGTAATATCAATCCAGGTCAGCACTATGGACAGCTCCCGCCACCTGCTACAGACCCGTCACTCCTAGCTATTTCTACTCCAGTCACTGCCCCTTCCCGCGCACCGTCAATAACCTTTGGCCCTGCGAAGGCAGCGCAAGATGGTACGTCCAGTGCTATGATCCAATGCGGTACCAAGCGTGGCCGCGAGGTGGAAGGCGCGCCACAGGTGGTTGTGGCTACAGCCACTGAGAGTGCTCCCCCAAAGAAGAAGCGTCTCCGCACTAGCCGACGCAAATACCATGTACATGTGAATTCGCAGGCGCATATGGACATGAAATCCGGGGGAAATCAACCCCCTTCGGCTAAGCCTCCTAGGCAAGGAACAGTGCATCCCATATACCTCTACCTGGAGGAGGAATCTGAGGAACAGCGTCCTTACCCATGCATAATGGAAGGATGCACATACCTCATTCCTCTTGGGAGAGCAGCGCCATGGAAGCACATGGAAGCGTGTCATCCAGACGTTGCGCAGACATGGAAGTGCCCGTGGCCTAGTTGCAAAGATGAGGCGCCAAAAGTGTCAGGAGATGCTTTCGGAAGACACGTACAGACAGCACACGCTCCCGTGCGCATTTGGCAGTGCCCAAAATGCTGGAAGAAATCGAAGCCGAGGACCCGGAAAGAATACTGGGTTCGACACTGCGATAGCTGCAAGTGAGTTGTCTACCTATGTATTTTGCGCTTGTACCAATCTCCGTCTCGACCAATCAGTGCCTTAGGGCTGAGTGGCTCCGCCACATCTACCTCAAAGCAGAGCAGTTCGAACGTTATCGATAAGCTGGAACAGAATGGCTCGACGAAAGCGAGCCTGAAGAAGAGCAAGAAGGGGACGAAGACACAAGTATCAGACGTTGCCTCGCAGCCTGCTACACTCAACGAGAATGGCGATGGTGGTTCTAATGGCACCTGCGACTCCCTCGAGGCAACGATTATGCTGGCCCTCCGGCTTCTTGGTGTACTCGGGCCTGAAACAGAGTCCATTGGGCCTGAAAAGAATGGAATAGAGTCCATTATAGAAGAATCCCAATCCCTACGCCCGGCAGATGACCCTTTTTGGCTCAAAGACGGCGCTTCCCCGATGCCACCATCCTCGGGAGGGTGTTTACCGCCCGCTCCCAACCAGCACACTGCCACATCCCGATCGCGACCTTGACTTCGCATCCGTCAGCTCTAGGCCCCGTCTAATGTTGTCAAGCAAGACGGCACGTCGGCTCTCCGATATCGTCCGAATGCCCTGACACAAGGCCTGGAGCATGGACCGTCATCAGACTTTTGATCAAACTGCCCGTGTCCATCCCTGGAAGACTTTCTCTATTTGATTGGTAAGAGGCTCGTTCACAATCTGTTTTCTCTTATAGGCTTTTCTTCACCTTGGCTACTACATCTCACGGCTTGTAACTCTAATAGTATCTCCCTATATCTTGCTGCTACTTACGAGGTCACAGCACCGTAGCCATCGTTCCTCAATTTGTGTCGTATCGTACGAGTGTTGCCCTTCCGCCGGTGACTTGTCTCTCCTTTTCCGTGCATTCTTTCTTTTCGTTTGCTTCCGTATATACTACCGTCGGCTACTTGTTTTCCGGTTGTGTAACACCCGTAATATTCCGTTCGCCATTTGCTTGAGCCTAACACCTAGGAGTACAGTGCAGTGGCAATTCTATTCCATTACTCAGCTTTCTTTTCACACCAACAAAGTAACTTGCTTCAGCAGCTTCGTATGTGGTCACGATCGTTACAATAAGTACACTTCGGCGGGTCTTTGTAGGGCATTAGATGTCTGTAGCTTCTAAATAGCTGCGTTCGTGGTTACAAAAGACCAGTGAGCTTCGTAAGCACCTGACTGCTCATAGGTAATTTGAGATGATCGCATACAATCGCCTATTAGATACGCGCATATATAAATGTTATTGTGAGCAGCAGTCTAATCATAATAGATGGGATGGGTATGGATACATCATGGACGACCTTCAACATACAATGCCTAATTACTGTCATAGCCATACTACCTGCGTCTCAAGACCAAACAAAGCACACGACAGCAAACCACACGAAGCGCGGAAATAACGAGACAAAAGCGTACGATGCGAGCCAGTCGCATCCTGGTATGATATACTGCATGAGGGTTCGCCTCCGCCTCAGCACACACGGCCGCCCCACGACCCGATGACTTGGTCGAAGGGGACAGCGCCCTGCACCCATCGCCGGCTAGCCCCTTTCCCGCTCTGTCCCGCGCTCGCGGACACCCCGAGACAGACCGTCGTCTGCTCCTTGCCTGCCTTCGCCGTGCGCTTGCGCCCCTTGTCCTGCGACGCGGGCAGGCCCATGCACAGGCCGTCGAGGCCGTCGTGCTCATCAGGACCCTCCACAATGCTGAAGCCACTGAGGGACGGCGTCTTCGCGCTGCCCCGGGCAAAGCTGCTCTGACGGCCATCCTCCGGAATGGCGGGCAGGCGCGAGGAGAAGGGAAGGCGCTGGCTCGCCGCGGGCGTCTCGAGCAGCGGCGTCTCCTCGTCAGAGTCCGAGTCGGCGTCAGCGGCGGCTCCGACGCGCGAGGGGAAGACGAGCTCGACGGGGACGCCGTCGCCAAGCTTCCGCGTGAGCCGGCGCATCTTCTTGAGTCGCTGGGCCGCCTCAGACGGGATGGCGAACGAGGGCGAGCTGGGTGACCCGGGCACGTCGTCGGCCTCGCTATGAGGAGGAGATCCCGGGATCGGGTCCAGCGGCGCTGGGAAGAGCTTGAGCAGCGGGGGCCGCTGCGTAGGGTTGTACGGCGTGCGCCATGCCTGTTCGCTATTAGAGCTGATGCGCGACGCGTGGCTCTTCGATGAGGAGCGCGAGCTGGACGTGCTCGGGCGTGGAGAGCGACGACATTCGCTGTTCTCGTCTGGGCGGGGAAGCGACTTCGTGCGCCGGTGGACGTTCTGGAATAGTCGACGCGGGTGCTCTTCTGATACGCGGGCGGGAATGTCTATGCGTAGAGAGGCTGTATAATGCTTGTCAGCTCCGGTACGGAAATGGGGAGGCATAAGAATAAAAAACGACGCGTCGGGTAAAAGACTCGTATTCCTCCTCGGGTACTGTACATATCCCTGGCCACATGAATCGTGATGTCTCGGGATATCGTATGCAGCCCACAAACTGCTGGTGGATGTGGTGGTGCACATGATAAGATCGAGCTCAGCATGAAGCCTCAATGAATCCCGGGCCTTAATTTCCATGCCAGGTATGCCTATTACCCTTCTCGCGAATTCCAGCCCACTGAGGCTCAGGTCATAGCCGGTACCCATCACATACAGCAGAAGGTGAATGCTACTCACCAGGCTTCGGAGGATACGAGAGGTCCAGAACGTGAGGGGTGCTCCCGAGCACCTGCTCGATTTTGTTGTTAGTGCGCAGGAGATGAGCGCGCTGCTCGGGGCTCAAGGTGTTATGAGTGGGCGGAGGTGGCGGAAAACGGATGACAGGGTGAGACATGCTGAGAGTGAGAGATTAATAGACTAGCAACGGATCTAAGGTAGGGAGCGTGTGGTCGGGAGCGGGGAGTATGAAACGGTGAGACCTCTGGGGCCTGTTGAAGTGTACCCTGCGTTGGGGCGGGGGTATACGTACCTGTGGAGACAAAAGGAGCCTATCTGGGCAGGATGGGAACGGGCAATGCATATCTCATATTCTCACATCAACTTCAACGAGCAACAAAAACGGTTACCTCGTGTTACGGGAATGGAAGTTGGGGATTCATCATCACATGCTCTGCGTTTTTGTATCCAGGAAAGGGTTTGGAGACCCTGCGTAGAGTCATTGGCAACTGACGGTTGATAAAGACAATAGCAAATAGCGCCGGCCCGCTGACTTCAAGTTCTTTGAAACGTAACGTGGCCATAAACCGGCGATGGATAAGGGATCTTCTCATGCTCGGTTTAGCTCACTCTAGGCAAGCTGTTATGTACATACATTCGGGTCGAGAGCAAGGATGGAAGGGAGGAAGGAAGAGCTTACGCGCCTTATGGTAATTCTATAGCAACCGGCGTGCCGAGATTGTGATGGTTGTGTGAAGTCTAATACATAGACGCCCATCATAATTTGGCCCTGAATCGTTGTTTGTTGCTCTACTTCCCATCGCCGCAGATCCCCACGCATGATCGTCTCGAAGTAGCAACGTATCCATGGATGCTCAATGAAGAAGTTTTCAAAGTCGACACATAGAGAGTTATATAGCTGCTGACCATGACACGTCAGGATTGATTGGTATTGATTAATGATAGCAATAAATACATAACATGAGGAATGAGATGAAGTGAGCTCGGGAACTGACAAGAATGTACATTTTCAAGAGCCCACGTAACGCTTCACCAGCATGGGCAGCTGACTGTGCTTCTCCACCTCGTCACAGACGACGGGCCGCTGGATCATCGTTCGAACAGAACTTGTTATCTTTGCCGGCGGAACAGCGAGCTGGAACTCAAATGCGCGGATCAGGACAAAAAGAAGGGCTTTCATCCTGGACATAACATGCATTAGTGAGCGGCCGCCTAATACAAGATGATCGACTCACTCGTTTAGTGCGAAACGATAGCCTATGCAGGCATGCTGCCCGCCCAGGAAGGCCATCGTATTGCTCCATATTCCCGGAACCGCATGGATGGCTGCAGGGACCGATTCCTAACGTTCTGGTCTGAGTCGATACTGTCATCCATCGCAGTTCTAGCACCGCCGATGTGACACATACTTGAATTCGTGAGCATCATCGCCCCACAGCTCTTTCGACCTGTTGAGCGCTACAATCGGAACGTCGATGATGGTTCCTTTGGTGACCCTGAGCTAATTGATGAGCGATGGCTACAGTTGCAAGGATCATAGTTGCCGCACCTCACGTAGTCATGCGTGCGTCCCTTCGCGTCGACATACAGAGTATCCAGCGGGATGACATCGTCTTTCTCTGCGACCCTGATACTGGTGTGGATGGGCGGATGCAAGCGCAACGTCTCGCGGATGACGGCGTCCAGGTAGGGTAGCGCGGTGAGGTCATCTACCGATGGAGTGTCGGTCGACATGGCCAAAAGCTCCTCGCGGAGCTTCTGTTGCGCCTCGGGGGCCTGGCTTAGAGAAAAAAGACACCATGTTGTCGCGACGCTCGTTGTCTCGTACCCTGCTACGAGAAAGCTAAGGCCAGCAGGTATGAGATAGGAGCCATGACGCTGAGCCTATGGCACATACGTTGGTACCTCTGGCATTGATAGGGTGTGAGCTGACAGAAATAAGAGACGCGAGAGCACTTACGAGCCAAGACATCCTCATCTGACATCCTCTGACTTTCCGTAATGTCAGACGCCATGTTTGCTTTCACAAGTATTGTCAGGAGGTCGCGCCCGTGCAGGCGTTCTTGTGCGCCATCTTTACTTGCTTCAAGGGCAGCTTTTGTGATTTGTATTTTTTTCTCTCGTACGAGTTCCAGACCAATGCGGGTCATGACCTTCCTAGCATGAGCACCATCGCTCATGTGGGACTGTCACGATACAGTAAGCAACCGCAGCAGCGCTTCATGGAGAAAGACGCACCAGCAACCGCAGCGGAGGGAAGAAGTACGCGAGCGCAGGAAGCCATACATTCCACCCCGACGTCGACCTCAACATAACGCGCAGGGCCTTGCCCAGCTCGTCATCACTACCATCGGATTCCAGCGAGTGAAACTGGTGGTTGAATCCTGGAGCGGAATGGTCCATTTCTGCATGGAAAAGATAGACGACGACAGGCTTACCTGCAAGTCCGATGACATCTAAAGTCATCTTGCTCAAGCCGCTCAGAACTTCAATTCGAGCGGGCTGATTGTCCTCTTGTATCATACAGTTCCAAACATCGCGTAGCTAGTGGGGCGCTTCATAAACGATGGACATTTCTCTCTCGAAAACTACTCACTTGAATAGCCTTGTCCACGAAAATGTCAGTTAATTCCCGGATCTGTGTCGGTCCGAAGGCAGGGTTCTACCACCAACTGAGAAACACTCGAGAAAGGATAATGCTGAAGACATACCATAACTTTTCTCTACTCCGACATCCATCACGTTAGCCAGCAAGTAGATTTTGGAATTATAGACAGCTTGCCTGGCGACGATGCTGCTCGCCTTGAGCAATACGTAAAATCCATGACAGGAAGACCTGCAGCGGCATCTCTGCTTACCTTCAGCTACTACAAGACCTGTCATGAGCATGGCTCAGCGAGGTACATCTGCTGCGATCAACAAATCGTATACCTTCTCCTAGGATGCTTGACAGCGTATGGCGAGCGAGTTCTGGCTTGAAATAATCGTTCGAATGATTGAGAATGTGACCCAATGCGCGTGTATCGAGGGTATACAACCGGTCCCTCTGTCAAGGAATGGCGGTTGATAACTCTCAACGCTAAGAAAGAGCAGGCGACGCACATTGAACCAACCCTTATAGTGAATAGTCTTCCCGTACTTGTCTGTCCATGCTTCCTGTAGCACAGCTGGTTGAGAATTAAGAATGTTATTGATGTTCCCTAGGAACCAGCTCGATGATGGAGGGCCTGGGACATCTCGCAGGGGAGACGTGTACGGCTGCAGCAGGAATGAAACGAACTTGACAAGATAGAATGTGATGATACCAATGGAGAGCGCTTTCAAAATATCCTCAACCATCATGGTGGTGCGTTTCCGGGGTCGTTGCGCAGATGAAAAGGAAAGACGAGGAAACTTGTTGAGCAGGTGCCGCACATATCAGTTGTCGCAGAAAATATACGGACGCGCGCTTTGAAGCGCAGCTGCACGAGCGGGTCATTAGACATCATGAGCGGTTCATCTGACAGCATGGACAGATTAGCGGGAACATTGCGGCCCAGTAAGCATTCGGTCCCAAGGAGGGACTGACTGTGCACTGCCTAGCTGCGCTCTGGTTGCAGCGGCCCCGTCCGTGTGAGACCATCATCAGGTGTCATGAAGTATCCCAAATGGCTGTGCCATCATGTAGTCTCCTGAGAGCAGAGGAGATACTTCTTTCAGACCTTCGCAATTTCCGGATATGTCCACCACAATCTTAAAATGGTATTAGAATAGTCGTCGCTCGTAACATGAGCGAGATGCTTCAGCTCAAACCGTGCGCTCTGCACTGAGTTTAGTGTACGCAACGTCTGCTCTGATGGGATGTCGTCCTGGTTCATTACACGAGTACCTGCGCCTGCAAAACCTCGTTTACATACAGCTGTGACCCCTGAGATGCATGAGGCGACTTACCTAGTCTCACATTCCTTCTATCCGCTTCTTTTCTGTCTACATCATATTCCAAAAGCCCAACAAGACGCTCAGCCTGAGGGACACCGTATCTGCGCCAGTATCCTTGCGTGGTCTCAGCTTTGCTCCTAGCCAAGTACTTAGTAACCCACGCCTAGTAGGCTCCAGCTCACTGCGGATTTACTCCAATCGTTGCAGCCGCCGGAGAGTCAGACGATGCTTGGAAGCAGAATGTGGTCCGGTGTGCACAGCCGTGAGAGTTGTCGGACGCTCGTCGACTCCTCTTGCCCATTTCCCAGCAACTCGCACTCGCTGTACGATCTCGTTTGCAACGATGTTCAGAACAGCAGCAAAGAAGATAGCGCACAACTCGACAATCCCAGTCTTAGGAGTAAACAAGGACCTCCGTACGCTGCAAGAGCTGATTACGGCAGAGAAGTCGGTACTGAACTCGTGCGTCATGCAATGGCCCCTGCTCTCGTGATACATAGTTTCAAGGGATTCTGGCAGGCTACAAAGACTGAGCGCAGACTTAGTGAAAGCGTCAGAGGCTCTCAAAGCGTGGGGAATAGGCGAGGGCGATGATCTCGGGGTGAGTTGCGGCCCCTCTATTCCACAACCGCTGCTCATCGGCGCTCAAGGATGTCCTCACCGCGTCATGTACGCTGTTCTTGCACTTTGCGGAAGCTCTGGCGAACTATGCAAACCACGAAATACCTGTGCGAGAACACATGAAGTCAATCCGCACGCGAGAAGAGCGTCTCGACGACTTGCGGCGGCGGCGGAAGTCGCTGCACTCGGACGCGGATTCCGCGGAGAAGAAGCTGGGTAAGATGAGCCCAGACAACAAGAACCTTCAAGTCCAAACCGATCTGCTGAACAAGCTGCGAGACGAGATTCATATCATGGACGCGGATATCATGGCGGAGGAAGCCAGCCTTGGTGATTACAAGCGGACGAGCGCGAAGGCATGGATGGGCCTCAAGTTCGGTGGCCTGGCTGAATGCTCAGAGAAGGGCGTTGTGCGTCTCTTCTCCACACCAGGCTAGAATCGCGTTGATTGGCTGTGCAGATCATTGGCGAATTCGGCAAAATGCTCGTCGCTGTGAGTCTCGCGTCTTATTCCGATGCCTGGATCGCACGTAACATCCGTCCATAGGAGATTCCATTGGATACCACCGAGCCTGGCCTGCCACGGTCGGTCTACCAGGGACACTCCAACACAGAGGCACTTGTCGCGGATGCGCGCCGTGCGCTGACGAACGTCGTGTTCTCGCATGAACCCAACCCTAATCGCCTGCCGAATTTGCGCTACAGTCCTGAGCTGCCCGGTATACCCTTCGCGCACAGACATTCACAGCTGAGCTATGGCGGCGACACGAGCCGGCGCACCTCGATGTCACCCTCGTCGATCTCAATGCCTATGCCGTCAACAGACGAGACCTCGCGTCTCAGCCAGATTCTTCGCTCGCCCACCACACAGTTCCCGCAACCTTCGCTGTATCCGCCGCCTCGCCAGCAGTCGCTCTCGTACGAGCAACTTCAGTCGCCCACGCCGCCACCGGGTAGCGAGGCAGCCGAGTTCGGCGTGCTCCCGGACCCGTTCTCCCCGAGCACAGGTCCGCAAGGTGGCCGGTTTGCTACTTTCCCTGTCAAGGCTGTGGGCCCACGCCCTCCGCCGCCGCGTAGCTCGCAGCTGTATGGCACGCACGGCGCTGGAGTAGACCGGCCGCCCTCGCTTGACCTGGACCGCCCATCGGACTCGTTCTCTTCGAGCGTCGCAGATGCGCTCGGGCAAGAGTTCGAGTTCGAGAAGGGCGGGCTGAAATCATCATCGTCGGGCGCAGGCCCAGTTGACGAGAAGCGTGGCAGTACGAGTTCACAGCGACGGTCTTATTCGCCGCCTCCGCCGCAGTACTCCGCCGTATTCGGACCGCAGGAATTCGAGTCATTAAATAGGAAGGGGAACCATAATTCACAGTTGGCATACATGGCCAATCCTGACGAGGAGGAAGAGGGGCTCCAATCGACTGAGGGTCGGGATGACAGGAGAGTCACATTTGAGGAGTTGCGTGAACCCGAGGCAGAAGAGAGCAAGGCCGAGAGCGACGCAGCGGTGTCATCAAGAGCAGAGCAGGATGCCAGTGAAGGTGCAATGCAAAGATCGGACGCATCTCATAGCAATGTCTCTGCTGAAGGTGAGATTTGAACAGCCGGTGTCATTAGTAGTACTGAGGATGCCTCCTTCCACTCCCTCGCAGCAACAAGAGCGGCTCCTCCTCAGTCTACACCTCCCCAACCTGAATCTGTAGCCGCCCGACCCTCAACTGGGTCTGAACAACCGACCTACACCATACCGGAAGTATCTTCGCGTCCACGCGAGCCTTCGCCGCCTTTGGACGAAGAGAAAGCTCTGAACGCAGCAGCAGCTCGCGAGGTCTCTCGCGAACTCGATGCCCTCATGTTCAGCGTTTCACCGCAACCGCAACCGCAACCGTCCGCGGCTGATGCGCCCCCGGCCGACCGTACCCCTTCTCCACTCCAGCCGCCGCGAGTACCGTTTGGCGCGCGGTCGGTTTCTCCGCGCCCCAACATTGAGATCTCTACCTCGCAGCCCGGCAGCCCGCGCCTGGGGCCGCAGTACGTCCGCGCGCGCGACCGATCACTGGCCTCGCCCAGCAGCATCTCATCTGCCTCCAACGGCGACCAGGGCACCATCCCCCCTGTGACCACCTCGTCCCGCTTCAGCGCCGACCGTGGACCCGCCTCGCCCACCGCGCCCTCCATCTCCATCGCGCGCGGCACGCCCTCGCCTGCGCCCTCGGGCATGTCCTCGAGCACACCCTTCCGCACACCGCCAGAGCTCCCCGGCGCGTCCTTCTACAGCCTCTCCTCCGCCGTCACCGGCTCCGGCACGTCCTTCGCCTCCTCCGGCGGCAAGATCTCCGCCGCCGCCTTCCGCCGCCAGCAGCTGCGCAGCCCGAGCACGCCGACGCTCGACCCGCTCTCCTCCGCGGACACGGGCCCGCTTGTCGTGAAGAAACGTCCGCTACCGCAGTCGCCGAGCGCGCAGGCATCCGGATGGTCCGCACAGAACGCGGGTGCGATACCTCGCGTGCCGTCTGCCGGGCGTCGCATATCGCAGTCACCGACGCGCCATGAGGGCGCAGGTAGCGAGGACGAATACGACTACGTCTCGGCATATGCGAACGAGACTGAGAATGGTAGTGGGCGGGGCGACGGTGGGTATGCTCAGGGCAAATTCGCAACGAACTTGGAGGATGGCAGCGGGTTGCGTTAACGGGATCTGTGCCAGAGTCGTTCGGTGTTCGTTTGCAGCGTCGGATCCCTACCTAGAATTGTTGTTTATTCGCGGTCTCATCAGCTTATTTTAAGTGATTGTCTAGTCGTGGCGTCCGAAGAATGTAGGACATTGTATGTATCTCCCCGTTTCTCTCAGCACATTTGTAGCCAGGTACTCAGAATGCATGAATGCATGATTATCAAGGTGGTAGTGATACAAATGCATTGAACACGATACTTCGGTCCTTTCAGATCCTCGGCATCTATGGGCGTATCCTCCTGGAAAGCATGATTAACAGGCAAAACCTCAGTGGCCAGCGGCATCGATGTAGCGTGCCTCCGCCTCCTTGAAGTTGATGACTTTCCAGATCGCATTGAGGTACTATATAATGTATTCGCGTGGTCAGAATTTTCCTAGGGCAGTATCAACGGCTACTCACGTCGGGCTTCACGTTGTAGTATTGGAGGTAGAAGGCCTACGCAATCGAATATAATTAGTCCATTGTCAGATAAAACATATACACCACATACATGCTCCCAAATGTCGATACCGATGAGGGGAACGTGCGCTGGACACTCATGTATCAGCAATCTTGTGCCGGCCTCACACCAGCGACATGTGTTACTCACAGAGCAACGGATCCTGGTTAGCGGTTGTGACAACTTCGAGCTTCTTGGTTGTCGGGTTGTAACCAAGCCAGCCCCAGCCAGAGCCCTGGATAGCAGCGGTCGCTGCGTTCAGCTTTTTCTTGAGCGCTATAATGGTGACGTCATCGTCAACGAGTTCGGCGTACGGGCAACTGGGGATATACACACCGTCAAGACCGCCAAAGTCGGCCTGAATGGCATCCTTGAGGGGGCCAGCGGGAAGATCGCCGCCGCCCTGCGATGTAGGCGCGAGGTTCTTCCAGAAAAGGGAGTGGTTGATGTGTCCTGCAGCGACCCGCTGTCAGCGCACACATATCTCCGAATTTAGAGAGCGCGTGCGCTACACACCACCACCGTTGAATTTGAGCGCGGGCTGGAGGAGGATCTTCTCCTTGGGAGACTGCGCCTTCGCGTAGCTCTCCTCGGCCGCGTTAAGGCCGGTCACGTACGTCTGGTGGTGCTTCTGGTGGTGCAACTTCATGATCTGGCCAGAGATATGCGGCTCAAGCGCGTCGTAGGCATATGGGAGTTCGGGCAGCGTGTGCTGGAACCGGGCCTGCGAGGAAAGAGACAGCGCGGCGCGGGGGAGCGCGCGAGGTGCGCGGGCGACGGTGCGGGCGAAGCTGAGTACGGACATGGTATTGCTATTCGCGTTGGTGAGGGTGAGTATATGCGGGTGATAGTGGTATGGGTAGAAGGTTGGAGGACGGTGGGGACGACGAGGCCGCCGTTAAGAGCGATTCGGAGAGCAATCGGCTCTCCTCGCGCTGCGTCATGCAGAGATCACGTGAGCCTGCGTATGCTTTCCTCCAGAAACATACGAATATCCCAGAAAATGCGTTCATCTCACTGGGCTTTTCGTATCTCAAGCTTCGACGTTCTATCAGGCTTGCGTGGGTGAAAGCCTGGATGCGTATCCAATGAGGCGGCAGGGAGAGCTGTACTTTATTTTCAATTGCAAGGCGGTCGCATCGCCTGCAGCGACTCAGCTTCGCATCTCTCCAAGCATCGTCGTCATCACGAACGGCGTAGTGGTGCAAGGGTTGGAGAAATCGGTGCATGATGATAGCATGACGCGTCGGTGATGAGCGGGTATGCCAATGGTTTCTTTCCAGCTCAAATTGCGGAGGACGCGCTTTCCGTCGTGCAGGTATGTTACGGTTTTATACGGTCTCTGGCTGAAAGGGTTCATACATCAGTTGTACATCTTCTCGAAAGTGGGTATAAGGAAGTCACTGTGTATAACGCACTCAAAATTGACCCCAGTGAGCCTCGATTCAAGTTTGCTGCACCCGAATGCTACGCTCGTGATATGACGGGTAATGAAACTTTCTTTCAATGCCTTGCTACGAGATGGTTCTTCTCGTTTCTTTTTCTGATGTCTTTGATGCTGCGCGAGCGTTCTCTCCGTCGGGACGTCAACGACCCTGCAAAAACGCACCAAGCATAGTATCCCTGCGGATTATTACAGTTGGGGGATATATAAGGGTGAGATCATCCCATTCCAGACTGTGCGGTGTCTTGTCGTCTACCGCAGCACAGCATTGTAAACGACCAGTGCACGATATCGTCTCTTGCCGACACTGCATACGTCAGACAACGCGGGCATGGTATACTTCCGATGCTGTGGAATTTTTGCGACATGACATCTTTCCACGGCTCATTGACTACTCGCTAGAGTGTGCGACGCTACGCAATTTCGCAGGAATGGAAGACGCCGCGTGTCTCGGAGTTCACCTCGGACACCATCAGACAGATGAGCTTCCTCTGGCGACACACGATTCGTCACTGGTTGTGTATGACCTGCATCACCAAATGGCGTTGATATTGACTGGCAGGTTTTATCGTCGAGACTAGGCCGCGTATGCGTACTTTCGCGACTGAAGCTGACAGAACTCCCGCACAATGTTCTCCAGCACGGCAGCCGGTGTCGGCACGCCGACGATACGTGTAGACTGTCAGCCCTTCGCTCTGATGAATGCTCGCCGCACCATGTGTCCCACTTGAAATTGTTTTCAGCCCCGCTGCTGGTGACAGATCTTGACACTTACGTCCGCGAGGCGCTGCTTTGTATCTCACGGAGACATTCGGATTGAAAAGGGTTTACCTCAGTACTGCGTCCGGCAGGTCAGTCTGAAGAACAGGACCGCCCACGTCGGTTAAAACTCGTGCCCAGCCGGGACCTACTCCCGTCCGGGCTTCTCGAACCAGGAACAATTACAAATGCGGAACAAGGTGCACCGCGTCGGGGACTTTGAATGTCGTCTTCCCGGGGCGCGGGCGCTGCTTAGGCGAACACAGAACCTCGAATTTCCTTGATGCTTGTGGGGTTTGTCTGACAGCCTAACTTCGTCCGAACACGCAAGCAGCATGACACTAGGCTTGTTAGACAAGTGCCCCGACCTCCGCCACCGGTGACTGAGTACCGATGACCGGGTTTGTCCGCACGATGCGGAATGTGACGTCGGACGCTGCGTCCGCGCGGGGCAGACACCTTCCCTTCCGTGTGTGCAGCCACGCGGGCTGTGAGGTTTTTCCCTGAATTCAGCTGAACCTATGCGCCGCGTGAGCGATCGATGTGATAGCGTGCAATAATACCCCTATTGTTTGTGCCTTACTGGCACTTTACACAGTTCATTCCCCCTGTCACGAATTCGCAGGCCGCCGTCCTGCCACTGCACTTCCCGGGCAAGTATATAAGCACGCCTGGGGTTGCAGGAGACGACAGTGCTCGCCCTCGACTGCTCAGTAACACCTTTCAGCATCTACCTCACTTTTATATACCTCTGCTGCTCGCGATGGATAGCTACGGCAACGACAACGACAACTTCAGCGGAGGCAACGGTGGCTTTGGGAACAATCAGTCGGGGGGCAACGGTGGTGGCTACGGCGGCGGGAACAACGGGAACAGTGGCGGATTTGGCGGAGGGAATGGTGGTGGAAGGAACGGCGGAGGGAACAGCCAGTCTGGGGGCTACGGCGGCGGGAATGGCGGGAATGGCGGGAACGACAACTCGGGAAACTACGGCGGGGGCAATGGCGGCGGTTTCGGGGGAAACGACAACTCGGACAGCTACGGCGGGGGAAACAGCGGAGGCTTTGGCGGAAACGATACCTCGGGTGGCTACGGTGGAGGGAACAACAACAGTGGTGGATATGGCGGAGGGAACAGCAACAGTGGTGGATACGGCGGCAACGACAGCAACAGTGGCGGATACGGCAGCAACGACAACAACGGGGGTAACAGCGGAGGCAACTCGGGGAGCGGCGGCTTCGGCTCGTCGAATAACAGCAGCTCAGGCGGTAACAGCTTGCTGAGCCAGGGCCTGCAATTCGCAGAGTCGAAAATCGGCGGGAACAACTCCGGAAACAACTCAAGCAACAACAACAACTCGGGGTCCAACAGCATGGTGGGCGAAGGCGTCGAGTATGCCGCATCGAAAGCGGGATATAACCTAGTGGGTATCATTGTTCTGTCAGGAATGCTGTTTGCTGACGACCATCGCGCGCAGGACCAAAACGATGCAAACTCGATCGGAAGTGCTCTCGAGGGCGTTGCGCGAAGGTTCTGAAAGCCGCAAGTTTGCTCGTGGTAAGTGCTCGTCAGCCTCGCCCACCCTGACATCACGATATTCAACCCTACGTTCAGGTATCCCTCTTGATTCGCTTGGACACCGGATTGCTGCAATGAGCTAGACAGCGGAGGCGACGGGAGGTTATGGAAGACTGTATACATAAGTAATTTCGGATTTTGGCGCTCTTAATGAATTTTGTGTCGATATCCCGCAGATCGCGCGTGCGATCGTTGATCGCTTGGGTCTTATGCCGAGCCGAAGACTTGTAAGTCCCTATGTAAGCATATTTGCATCTGCTGCGCATCTTGCAGTGAGGCATCACTCTTCGGCCCTTATGGCACGAGATTCACAATCTCGCCGATCGTGCGGCTCGTGTATTGTGGATCCTCCCAAAGAGGCGAAACGGCGACTCAATTAGGGTAGGCGTTGATTCGGTCGCGGGGAATCTTGCTAAGAATCGTTTATGAGGTTAACTCGTCGACATAAGGCTGCAACTGCAGCGTAGCCCCCTTTCTAGCTTCCGAAACTTTATTCTCGCGTGCCTTGTCGGTAGTGAAATCCCTCACAGGAGCATTGATTATCCGAAGCCGTGAAATCGCAGGCATGGACGTCACGTCTTGGTATACTCGACAGGAAACTATATATTACATTATAATTGCAAGTGGATCCTCAAAGATATAGGGGAAAGCGACAATGCTTAGAATGATGTACATTATTGAGGCTCAAGAATAGCCTGAAATGATGTGTGCTTACTCACACAAACGTTGGGTGAGTGTTTTACAGTATGTCGTCAATCAATTTAGCTAAGTTTTCGAGCAATGGGAGACATCATCCCGTCACAGTAACAGACATCATAATCAAATGAACCTATGCCAATGTGTGCAGCACGGGTCACTCTTTTTGAATCCTTAGAGCACAGACTTCGACGAGAAAACCCCGTTCAAGCACCCACAAGACCCTCTTCAATTGCTTTGATCTCTGCATGGAGGATGTGAGAGTAGGACGCGGAGAAATGTTACTGAACGGACTCATCGCGAGACGAAGGCTGAGGTAGCGAGACCAGGGGAAATTGCCTGTATGTTATCATGAACTTATGGGCACGGGTGCAAGGATATCGTGCGATGCATGACATACCCAGGGCAAACCATAGACGCTCATGACCGGAGTCACGGTATATGGCACTAAGTTCGCCCTCAGAGTCGAGGCCCCATACAGGCTTGACTTTGGAAACCACATCTGGACCACAGATATCCTTGACTATCTCTCGGTTGTCTCCAAAGCTGAAGACAGGAAAAATGGATGGTTAGAGAGTAGACAAGTATCTCACGTACTCACGTACCCTGTGGCAAAGATGACTACATCGGCGGCGATCTCGGAGTCATCTGAGAAGCGAAGCCCGGTACGGGTGAAGGATGCAATAGATCCTCCGCTCTTGAGTTTGATTTTACCATCAGCAATGAGCCGCGACGCTCCAGTATCTGGGCGAGCCTATGAGGTTGCAGATCCATGCTATGGCGGGTTTGGCAAACCGATATAGTATCCTCCGCCACGACTCTGCCAGAGTGGAAAGATGCCAGCACCATCGTATCCCATGTTTGTCTTGAAGCCTACTCGCGCTAGACCGTCCAGGATAGACCTGATGCGATGGGTAATCAGAGCTCTTCCGATATCTAAAGTGACAGTGATAACATACTTATCGGTAGTGGCAGCAATCGTTGGCACAGCACGCTGAGACATTAGTCGCAGGAGCGCAAGAGGAGTCGAGAATGTGTAGTGATCGGCGATCTCTAATGGCACTCGATCGTTGTACAGCTCTGCAGAGGTTGTCCAGACCATGGGATCCCGAGTCACAGGGACACGTACCCTTCAGGCTGTCTCCAGAAGCTTGTTTCGAGATGACATACGTGGCTGATCGTTGGAACCTAGAGTGTGGTTAAGTTATAGGCCGGGAGAGCTTCTCCAAGGCGACATACATCGTAACATCAATGCCATGGTTATAGGAGTCATGGACAATGTCATGGGCTGTGAGCGAGTTGGTTAATGCAGGCGCCAATGCATGTGTCGCCAGGAAGAGATGAATGACTACCTGATGTGCAAGCCCCAACAACAACAACCTTCTTGTCTAGGAACTCCTCCGCTGACGTGTATTGAGTAGAGTGAATGACCTTCCCCACAAATTTGTCCTGTCACGGGACGTTCAGCTATTGTCCATTGTTGTTTTCAATAGGCTATTACCAACAATACGTACCCGACCAGGAATATCCGGAACATTTGGGTTTCCGGCGCCATAGCCAGTTGCGAAGACGACATGTCTGGCGCACAGCACTCTGACGGAATCGCGCCTCTGAACAGTGATAGCCCAGGTCTTGTCTTTCTCATTCCACTGAGCTGCTTTCACCGTTGACGACGTCCAAACATCAAGCTCGTTATGGTGAGCATAGCTCTCCAGGAAATCTCCCAGCTAGTAGCATTATCACAATGAAGCCAGCGAGGTCTGAGATATAGCGAACCTTTTGCGCAGGAGCATAAACGGGCCATGTGGATGGAAATCTGAGAGTCAATCTCAGGATACATCATACTCACGATTTGTAGAACACGCACAACATGTATGGCAAATGATCAAACCCTAAGTGATATGGATCATCATTCACATGAGATGAGGTGTATTTAAACTCAAGAACTCACAAACTGTGTCATGCAAAGACAGAGTTTTGTAGCGATGTCGCCACTTCGATAAACTATAAATAATTCTATCCCCTTAGGTGGAGATGGGTGAACTCACGTTGTCGCCTATTTTAGCATTTTTCTCAACAACCAGTGCGCGAACGCCAATGTACTTAAGACGAGCGGCGGTCTCTAGTCCACTGTGACCAGCACCGACGATCACGACGGCAGGTTTGCCGCCTTCCATATCCGTCTCTGCGCGCCGCTTTTCTGTCCAAGTACCCTGATACATGGTTGCATCACGGAGAGGACCGATCTGGTCAACGGTAAGTAGTGAGACATTCATGTTGAGACTGTGGGTCACCTTCTCTGGAAATTCTCTTAAAGAACCGAGACTTGTGAACATTGTCCAAGCCTTCCATACACCGCCGGTGTACACCAGGCGAGCAAGGCCGGACCCTATCCCGACAGCGTTCTCAAATGTGAATGCGAACTGAACAAAGGTCAAGTCGGGGTATGGCTTCTCGAGAGTGGGCTCCAACCATGGTTTGTCTGAAATCGTAAGATCACGCAAGCCCGAGTTAGCCAGATGTTTCTCGAGGTAGTCGTTAATGCGAGTAGCGCCTATAAGTGTACGGATATCCCAAGAGAGCGCAAGCAGGTCCCGCCAAAAGCTGTCGTCCAGGAACAAATCCTGAATTTGGGTACGCCGAGACTGCAGAGCGATACAAAAACCATCAAGCCAATCTCGTGACACCTGTACAGGCGAGGTACCCTCCGGGATCTGCACACCAAGGCAATCGGTGGTCGGCAGTTGGTGAGGGCCATCCCAAGATGATATGGGCTTTGCATCGCTGGTGGCCATGTCGTCGTTTTCAAGATCGTGCTGCCGTGAGATGAACTGTGAGGGTGTTCAGCGTAATATAGCTGAACTAATCTGAAGGAGGATGACAAGATGGCAGCATGGGATAAGTAGAAGCCATGAAACAGCGATAACATACATAGAATCGCACGACCGTCTCCGCATCCGTTGAAATACGTCTCGTAGGGCCCGAGCTTATTCTAAAAGAAGTTATCCTGTCAGAGGACGTATCATGGGGATGATCAAGTGCCACATCCTCGCGAGCTGCAATGACCTTCAGGCGGAAGACGGTTCTTTATGCCCACGCCCCGGGCCGGATATCCACGAGTACTGTGAAGGAATTCGATCGAACTGAATCATGACTATGAGTGCTAGAACGTGATCAACGTAATATCTTATCGCACGAATGTTCAAGACGTACGAGCCTGTACTTGAAATCCGTCATGGAAGACGACCGTTATCCGGAACATGTCGGGATCCCTTCTGGCTGTCTGCTCTCCTACCGCATACGTTGATACACACCCAGCAGAGCCATTGTCACGTGCCGAAAATTGCACATTGCAAGCAATGTGCTCTCATCTCACCATTTTAGAGGAGGATCGAATGAGACAACGTGACAGAAAGGATGAGATAGCGTGTATCAGAGTGATTATGTGATCTGCACACTCCAGACCAACATATGACCCTTCCTGGTCGTACCGGGGATATGCTGGTCGAAAGGCGCATCGAGCTTCGCCTGCACTTTGACTCTATTTTCCGCAAACTCAGCATCCTCGACTTCGGCAAAGACCCTCTTCCAGAGCAGGGGCCAGGACCTCTCAGAGTGCCCGTAGCGTATCCTACGAATGAATTGAGAACGTCAGTTGCCAGAAAATGTACAGCAGCCACGGCCTACCTTCCGAGATGATCATCTATCATTCCCTCACACTCCAGGCCTCTATGCCTGCCGAACACGATCGTGCCCGACTCTCGCTTCAACAGATAGGCAACCCGTAATGCAATCGCATATTGTGTCGTCTCATCAAACAGGTGGAAGAGTGCACCGGTATAGATGTGCGTCAGGGATCCAAGCAGTTGTGATAGCTGGTCGACTCGAATGAGCGGTGGCGCTTCATGGACACTGCGTAGTGTCCCATCGAAAGCACTGGGGACGGATAGATCAAAAATATCGGACGTGAAAAAACGAATCGGACAACTGTCCCGATCCCGGAAGAGTTTATGGCCAAGATCGATAAATTCCGGTCTCAGGTCGCAGCCTAAGACATTCGATGCCGGATAGCCATCTGAGACAAGCTTGCGCACATCGGTTCCCACTACCAATACGTAATTTACTTAAGGCCAACATCAAGCGCAGGTAATTGAGACGTACTGCAGCATCCTATGTCCAGAAATACAGCATTTCCTGCCTTCCCGGCTTCAAGCACCACTGGATATATCGGATTCGCCAACATCATCAAACTGACATGGTGGAATGCGCGAATGCACGGATACGGATACTTCTCGCTGTATAAGCGAATTGGTTATGAAGGTCGAGATCATTCTTAAACCTCGTAACGAAACAAGTGAACGTACTATGCTCTGAGAGGCAACAGTGTGTCAGCAGGGGGTCGACAGAGTGGGAGATGGCTACACGTACTCTTTCTGAATCTCCAAGGTTCTCCTCCTAAGTCCGCCGTCATCTTCAGATATCCGCAGCCGCAGGAATGCAAGCTCCGTGTCGGTAGGCGTAAAGAGAGATGGATCTAGAGGCGGTACCAGGGTCGCGTTCACTTCTCTTTCCCGCTGAATAAATGACATGAAATGTAATTCCAGGAGCTGTTGATTATGATGTATCAGTCTTCCTGGAGAGCGTCAGATGCGCGCTTAAACGTCGCGAGACGTCACACATTGAATGGCGTCTCACCGAGTCACGGCTTCCGTTGCGCCAAACTCTTGCAGTGCCAATGCTACCATTCGCTCAGCCAAAAGTTCATACTATCAATACCATGAGGGATACCTACCAGAACTACTTGCATGACTCATAAATTTACCTTCAAGCCCAGGCTATACCTGCATCTGTACGGAAAATTGACGTCGGCTCGATCAGCAAATGTGTGGTACCTTCTCATTGCACTTAGACTTTCAGGAAAGTGTTTTGAACTTGGGACTGTGGAGAAAACACGTTCCTACAGTTCTCTGTCTCGTGCTATGGAAGAGATTCACAAGGAGTCTACACGAGGAAGCTATTTCTAGCTCGTTCCACTCTGAACACGGACTGATCAACTTTGCAGTGAATCATGCTCTGCATCTAGCTAGCGCATAGACATTATGGGGTCCTTTACGCCCGTGCGCCCGAAATGTCATCCTGATGCTCTGCGTCAATACTTCAAACCTTTGCAGGCTTAGAACATTCAGACTTACTCCAGAGTTGCTGTCATGGAGCAGCGCAAAAGGAGGCAAATCACTCGTTTCGAAACAAGAACATTGCTACGACATGGTGGATCGTGACGTACAGGGCTAGAGCCTAGCGATACAATATGTACCCATCTACCTCGAGTTAAGCCGTTGACATCAACACTTATAGGTCCCGAACTCATGGATGTCACATCACCCTCCATCTGCTATTATTTGCCGTGGGATCGAGATTTTCTTCTGACCCGCAAAGCATCCGTCAGTAAATACCAGAGTCAATCGCTGATCGGCACCAAGCTCTTCTTCGATGCAGTACTCTCAGTAGATGGCGCTTTGAAAGTTCGTGATGTCAGGCATAGCGCCATGTGCGGCTCCAAGTCGGACTTGAATTGACCCGGAATTTACCTCGTCACGAGCGCCGCGTCCACCGGCCCAAACGAAATGTCACACTACGTGACATGGTGACATCCCTTTGTTCTCGTCGCGCGTCGAACTCAAGCTTCGCCATAGCGCAGAGGACGGTGATAAACTTGCGTACGACGTCTTAAACAGTCATATTGTTGAGAAACTCATGAAAAATACATAGATTCGACCCACCTTCCTCACCCTCCTCAAGCGAAAAGCCTGTCCATTCCATTTCGTGAGTCCGAGACTTGTATACGAGTTGGCGACGCACATTGGTTGACTGTGGCTGAAGCATTGTCTCGACCACGTTTTCGTTGTTTGAATATACTTTGTGGCCGTATAGCATTTCCATAAAAGGATGACGAACCCATCAATGTCGGACGCCTCTATCTCCATCGCCTCCAGGCAAGGCTCCAGCTCGAGCATGTCTCGCCGCGATGCTACCCCTTCCGTTAGGAAAGGCCTCGTTGACATCAGCAACCGCGCTCAAAAGAACGGAGGCAACCCCGACAATGTTAACGGCTGGCGCCACGAGATTCTCAACAAAGTCAACTCACTTGACAATATGAAAATCGAAGAGTTCAGCAATCAGTTTGCGCCCAGCAGCAAGCCTTATCGAAATTGGACTGCGGCCACGAAAAATGTTTTTTCGCCACTCAAGAACGAGGAAGTGTTGAAAAACGAGATGCACATGTATAAACATCTAGTGAGTGGCCTCCTTAAACGTCTCTCCGGGATCTTGTCGCTGATCTTTTTCCAGGTAACTGGATTGAACCAGCTCTGCAAGGGCATGTCGCGAGATCGTCAACTGCTCTTTGTCAATACGCACAAGACCGACTTTCCCCCACCATTGTCGCAGGATACACCTGCCCACGGGGATCTGAAGCCGGACCTCGCGGCGCTCAAGCCTGGTGTGAAGACTGATAAGGCGTTCCAGGATGACAAGGAGAAATGGAAGCATGTCTCCTTGATTGTTGAAGCCAAGGGTTCCAAGCGTGGCGACCCGATGACAAGCACGAGCCAGAGAGCTCAACAAGATCGTTTACAACTGAGCAAAGTAGCGGGCATGCTCATGTTAGAGCAAGGTACCCTCTGCTGCTTTGTCCTTGGCATCTATGGATCGAAGGCTCGCATCTACCGATACGACCACGCATCTGCTATTGCGTCGACTGTGTTCGACTATCGTAAAGATCCGGGGTTTATGAGGAGATTCCTCTGGAATTTCGTGAATCCTAAGTCCGGGTTGGAGACGCTTGGTCAAGACGACTTGTCTTCGAAGCCGACCAAGAGAGACATGGAGTGGGCGCAGAGAGTGTCTAAGGAGAACTGGACCACCGCCGATGAACACCACAATCGCTGGATCGCTGTACCTCCCGTGTCTAAGAAGGAAAAGGGACAACAGTACCTGTTACTCCGAATACGCTCGATAAATCCGCGGATGTTTTCGCGAAACACCATCGTTAGGGAGGCTCTGAGACGAGGTGACACATCAGGCAAAAGATATATCATCAAGGAGTCCTGGCGACAAGTCATCCGCCCTCTTGAAATGGTCTTCTACCAAAGGATCAAGGAGTATTGTGATCGCACAAATACCCAGATGTTTGGAGTGGCCTATCTTGTGTCTGGTACTGATCTGGGAGCTCGAGAGCATCAGCTGAAAGTACGCAATCATTTTCATCAAACTGTATCATCCAAGCATCGAAACAGCGAGCGTCCTGAGCAAGGTGAGCGAAGCCACATACGCCTTGTCTTGCGCACTGTCGGTCGGCCGCTGGGCACCTTCCGCTATTCAAGACAACTCGTCCTCGCGTTACGCGACGCAATCCTGGGTACGTACGTTAGAGCTGTCATGTTGTTCGGGATTGTTGAAATTGTCGTGATCTCCTCAGGGCACCAGCTCGCGTACAAGGCGGGCGTGTTGCACCGTGACGTTAGCGCTGGAAATGTCATGATTGTTGAAGGTCAACCATTCTCGGGGTTCATCGATGACTTCGATTATAGTAGTCTTATCGATAGTTCTGCGGACGGCGGGTCGCCTTTAACAGATGAGGAGCTAGAATCTCTTGGCTCACGGGAGGCAGAGCTACGCGAAAGAACAGTGCGTTCCTATATACGACGAAGAGTTAATCTAGAGCTTATAGTCACTTGCCACAGGGAACGTTCGCTTTCCTGTCTGAGGCATTACTCAATATCTCAGCAAAATCTGTGATACATGCTGTCCACCATGACTTGGAGTCGTTCTACTGGCTGTTGATATGGGTCGTTCTGCGACATACGCAGCACACACATAATGCGGGAGAAACAGCCTTCTTCGAGGTCTTTCCCGGCGACAACGAGGCACTGGCGAAAAACGCGAAACACAGCTTCAGGACCCGCGAGGAACCCCTAGCAGTCAAAGATAATCGTCCTTTTTCCCACCTTCTATCAAGATTATGGCTCCTCGTATTCAAAACCGTAAAGTCGCCTCTCAATCCATTACCAACACTCCTCACATATCATGATGTGCTGCACGCCTTAAATGAAGCGCTCGACATGGATGATTGGCCCGAGAATGATGCCGCCATTCCTTTCGTACCCCTGCCATCCACTCCGGACAGTCCAAAAACACGAAGAGGGAGAGTCTAGGCGACGCAGATGCAGCGGGACCATCGAAGAAGATCAAGGCGGAACCCAAGGATACCGAAAGCGAAATCGATGGGGACGAATTTGAAAGTTTGTGATTTTTGTTGCACTGTTGCACTATTGCGCCTCGTCAATTTCATCTACGTGATGTATCCTTAGCGCTTCCGTCTGTATCAATCTCGTTTAAACTGTTGTACTCTTAGTTGTTGTAATACATAGACGACTTATTGCTCATTTTGAGAGTCAACAGCCAGGTATTTCATTTGTGCTCATAAGACTCGTTTGTACAGTGTCATTGGTCTAATAAACAGTGTCGTTGGTCTAATGAACAGTATGGTTCCCTTCTAGTTTTCTTGGCTTACACTCCTATGGTATGATACATCTGACTTGTGATTCTGTACATAGAGGCGCTACCAAAGCCTACAGTCTAGCAGCTGCGTCGTCGACGAAAGGATAGTCTGTGTACCCCTTAGATCCTCCGGGAGCATAGTACGAGTCACGATCACCCTTGATAATGGGTAGGTTCTTTGCGAGCCGTAATGGAAGGTCGGGCTGCCAAACACCATGTGAGCATCTCCTCGCGGCAGCATCGGAGCCCAGGCTACTCACGTTGGAAATGAACAGCCGTCCGAAAGCGACCAGTTCGCCGGTCTTCTCCGCCGCCTCAAACGCGGTGTCGCGCGTGTAGCCGCCAGCACTGATGAACGGACGAGGAGCCCAGATCTCGCGCAGGAAGTCGTTCGACTTGCATGGAAGGGGTTAGACGCCACTTGGGACGCGGGCCGAGATTGGGCGCACCTCGTTCTCGAGAACCTCGCGATCCACGTTGCCATTTACACGCGCCTCAGTGACGTGGATATACGCAAAGGAGGGATGCGCCTCGGCGATGCGAGAGACGAGGTAGGCGAATGTCGGCTTGGGGTCATCCATGCGCATGCCTGGCAGTGACCGTTTCAGCAGGGAACAGGGAAAAACTGGGCCACTCAATGTACTCACTTTGGAATGTGCCCCAGGGACTCAGACGGATGCCCACCTTCTCTGGGCCGATCGCCTTCACCACGGAGTCAATGACATCGAGCGCAAAGCGGGACCGGTTCTCGATAGAGCCGCCGTACTCGTCAGTGCGCTTGTTGGATACATCCTGGAGGAACTGGTCAATGAGGTACCCGTTCGCACCGTGCAGCTCGACCCCATCGAAGCCCGCGCGGACGGAGTTGATCGCGGCGGTGGTATACAGCTGGATATATTCCTTGATCTCTGAAGGGTCGATCTGAGTAAAGGTGGGCTGTCGATGGAATCACAGGAAGCTAACCTGGGATGGTGAGAGAGCGAGGTTTCGGGTGCTGGTCGTCCATAGCAATGTCAGAGGCCGATTGTAAGTCAAAGCCGTCTTTTTTTAGTACAGAGGGAGCTGCAGTCCTGCCGAGGGCCCAGAGCTGGCAGAAGATGCGTGAACCTTTAGCGTGAACAGCATCTGTAACCTATCACAACAAATCTAGGGTATCAGCACGAGCGGACAGACTCCCGGTGCGAGGAACATACGCGCTTCCAACCCGCAACTTGTTCATCGTTCCAGATACCAGGAACATTATCGTATCCTCCTGCCTTGGCGGCAATGAAGGTGGCCTCTGTAATTAGCAGCGTACCGGGCACCGATGCACGTTGCGCATAGTATTCGACCGCTAGATCGCCATGTACATGTGCCTTGTCCGCACGAAATCGGGTAAGGGGGGCTAATACGACGCGGTGAGACAGAATGGACGTCCCGACTTTGGTGGGCTGGAAGAGCTTCGGCACGACTACAGAGGACATGGGAGCAGAGTGCAGAGTGTAGTCCGGAAGAGACAAGATGCTTGTACTTCAAGGTTTTGCGATTGACAGTTCGATCGGGTTGGCATGGCTGTATATATACTCCAGGGATTGCTAAACCTTCTGTTCTTATCAAATCTCCCGCTGAGTAAGGCGCAATAGCATATGTTTACCAGTGTGGCTACGCCGCGTTAGTAAGTGTCCGGATGAAGTTCTCTGCCCGAGGCCGACAAGACGAATGAACAGGAAGGTTTATGGACTCGAACAACTGTAACTGCAAGCCTGAGAGACGTGCGCGTGTTGTCACAGGTTGAACGACGCACGTGACGCGCAGCGGGCCCGAGACCGTAGGCGAGGTTGCGGCTATCCTGTCTACCGAATCCAGGTTCTAAGTGTAAAGAAAGCCAGATCATCAGCAGTGCAGCTGGCATGGTGGTCATTGCCACCGATTCTCTTCATCCTATAAATCTTGTGTTACAGAGGACCCGGGGTGCGCCCAGTAGGTGACGCTTAAGACGGAGGTTGCGTATCCGATGACATGGACCCTGCCGAGGTCGCACCTCTTTTTCGCACAAGTGTCACCATGTTCAGTACAAAACGAAGATGTACTCATCAAGCTATTACGGTCACTGATCCTGCCGGACGCCTCGCGCAACGTGTCCGCCATACCGCCAAATCACGTCGCAATCCAAAGCATTGGGTACGTCCATGTATCCTCCTTCTTGTCATCGTTACAGTGGTTTCGTCCGCCTAGGCATCCAGCTCGCCAATGCCATGGGCTACCGCTTCATCGCCCTCTCTTCTTCGGCCGCGAAGGAGGAGCTCTCGAAGAAGTTCGTCACCGAGGTGTACATTGACGGCTCCAAAGTCGACCAGGCGGACGCCTTGCAGAGAGGCTAAGCTCATCACACGCATCGCGCCGAACCCGGACGTTGTTCGCACACTGCACCCTGGGCTCACCTTCGGCGGCGAGCTGTTCATCGTTGTGCTCACAGGCGATGCGCCGATCAACCTCGACGCGCTCGTCACGAAGTGGCTGTCGATCCGTGGCGTTGCGCCGGACAGCGAGGACTAAGGCCGCGTCCGGTCTGTGAAGGTACACAGCATCAGGACGATGGTGCAGAAGTTCCCACTCGAAAAGGCTGCGGAGGCGTACAACTACCCCGGCTCGGTGCGCTTCCGTGCCGTCATCATATTGTCGTGGAATTGGTCTCGAATATGTGTCGCAAACTGTCTCGGTACCCAGTTTTCATTCGCGCAGCACTTTGATCGAGTGATGATGAGATATTTAGCACCTTTATATAACGTCCCAGATTTTAGCAGTTGATGTGTGCCTATAAATATTATATTCACACTCGATTTCGATCTAGGCAAATACAATTTGAGGATGTTGTTCACTCGAGTTGGAGATTGTAGCCTCGGGGCTCGGTGCTGCTCTGCATGGCCCATCTTCAAGCTGGACAGCGGAATTGTGGCTAGAACATAGCTTAAATGGACAATCGTAGGATTTCATTTCCTTTGGCTCACATATGCATTACATATCCGGTGGCTGAACAGTACATGGGCGGTCGTGTGCGTATTAGTACTACCAGTACACGATATGATGCTGATGGGAATACAGATACAAATCGAAGCAGGTGAGAATCTAAGGAAACATGAACAGAATACATCGAGAGCGTGCAAGATCAAAAATAAGGACCACAATACAATAGACAGCATCACAGATCTTCGATATCGTCATTTTCTTCGTTGTCAAATCTGCGCGCCGTCTTGGTCTTCTTCGATACCGGTACTTCTTCTGAACTACCAGAAACAGTGGCTCTTCCCCTCTTCGTGGTAGTTTTTCGACGCGACTGCTTTGGGCTATTGGGGCTGGATTGAGGAGGCTTGAAAGGGATAGCGGTATCATTTTCCGGCCATCCATCCATGTCAAGCGCTTCTTTGAATGCACGCAGCATCTCCGCGTGCGTGAGACGGGAAGGCCGTGGGTTGATGGCGGACTTGACCGTTTGTGTCATAAGATGCCACAGCGTCGACAGTAGATGCGACAGGGGTTTGTTACCCTTGACCTCTATCGGACGATCGCTCACAATGAAGTCCTTCTTTGCGTGCGCTGCGCTTGCCTCATCGCCGCTACGGAAGACCTCATGGCATGCACCATTGACCTTGAAGTGTGTGTGCTCTGTATGTCTTAGGACGATCCAGATGAGAAGCCAATAGAAGGACTCCATGTCATGGTGCACGCTGTGAGTGACGGATTGGCCTGGTGCGAGGTTCAGGAGCTCAAGAGCGAGGAAGGCAAATGTTCCCTGTGTCACCCAATTGAGCATTATGTCGACATGTTGGCACACAAAATACACACCGTTCTTTCACGAAGTTCTGCATCTCTTGAGGAAAGTACAGCAAGTTCATCTGAGGTCAGAGGTGTCCCGCCGTCCGCAGAACTATCGATCAAGCTGCTGTAATCGAAATCAGTGATGAACCCTTTGAATCGTTTGCTTTCCTCGGTGATCATCACATTTCCAGGGCTGACATCTCGATGCAGGATGCCCGCCATGTACGCCAGCTGATGTCCTGAAATCATTGTAACTTCAGCGATTGCACACAAATCACGTTGACACCGGTCTACATACCTAGAATTGCGTCGTGGATTGCGAAGATAAATTGCCATGTACGAAGGAAGGTTTTCAACTGGCGACCAACAGTGCCCAAAACCAGACGCATGTGGCTGCGTTCGCCCAACTCCGGATGGGCGCTTTCTCGATGCTCCGAAGATACAGTCCGATGGAAGTACTTACTACGATCTTTCCCAGCTGCTACTTCTCGAGCCCCAAGGTCAGCACCGCAGACAAGGTCTCCAATCCCAAACAGGGGTGTCTTGGTACGCTCGCAGTACTCCTTGATGCGTTTGTAGAAGACCGTTTCATCCGAGCGCACGACTTGCCGCCATGATTCCTTGATGATGTACCTTTTACCCGATATATCTCCTCGTTTCAGAGCTTCGCGGACTATGGTAGCACGAGAGAACATCCGGTAGTTCATGGAGAGTACCCGGAGCAAGAGATAATCTTCGTCCCTTCCATTTCTGGTCGAGGACGGTACAGTGACCCAGCGATTGTGGTCGATATCGGAAGGGGTGCAATTGTCCCCAGATACATCCCGCGCCCAGAGCATATCTCTCCCTGTCGGCTTCGAGGACAAGTCGTCTTGACCCAGTGTCTCCAGCCCAGACGCTGGATTTGCGAAGTTCCAGAGGAACCTACGAATGTAGTCGGGATACTCACGGTAGTCGAATGCTTCTGACGCAATAGCTGATGCGTGGTCGTATCGATAGATGTGAGCCTTCTTTCCATAGATGCCAAGGACAAAACAGCAGAGAGAAGCTTGCTCTAGCATTAGCCGGCATGCCACCTTGCTCATTTGCATCAGGGTCTTCTGAGCCTCCTCACTTTCACTCATCACCGGGTCGACATGCCTGCAGTTCTTGACCTCGACAATCAAGGATACATGCTTCCACTTGTTGTTGTCGGTATTAAACGCATTTGCGTTCTTCACGCCGGGCTTGAGCGCGGCAATGTCAGGCGATATCTTCCCGTGGCTGGGTGTCCAGTCTGGAAAAGGCGAGCCAAACATAACACCATGTGCTTCGACAAAGAGTAGGTGACTACCTCGTGGCATGCCCTTGCAGAGCTGGTTCAGTCCAGTGACCTGGAGAGGTATCAGCCACAGGATGCAAGAGAGCGTCAATGTTGTGATACTGACGAGATGTGGGTACATGTGGAACTCGTTCCTCAACAGATTTTCGGTCCATAGCGGCGCGAAAGGGTCGTCTATCGCTGTTTTCCGCGCGCGATAAGGCTTGCCCCCGGGGACGTACTTGTCGATGAATTTAAGGACCGGGGTGTCCTCGACCATGTTGACTTTATTGAGAATCTCGTGACGCCAGCCATTATAATTGTCGGGGTCATCTCTTTTATTCTGTTTGCCGTTGGTAATGTTGACGAGGCTCTTGCGCGATTTAGGAGTGGCATCGAGGCGAGACATGCTCGAGCTCGAGGCCCAACCCGAGAAGGTGATGGAGGCATCGGACATTGATGGGTTCGTCATGCTTTATATGGCACAGTTGCGTCGGCCACAGGAGGAACGTGATCAAAACAACACTACGACCACAGTCAGACACTTAGCGTCCACCGTCAAGGACAACACGAAGTTCGAACTCACGGAGTGCGGAATGGGCAGATCTTTTCTGTGGGGGACGGCTATGCACGATTCGTGGGTATATATCTGAATATTCTATGATGGGTATGAATGCCACCTCAGTCAAAGCGGGGCAGCGTTTGGTGTGGCGTCGAGTACGCCTGCACAGAACAGAACAAAGAGGCGTAACGGCGTCACTTGATGTGACGTATTGCGTGATGTGACACGTCCATCGGACGGAGCGACTGATCATCACACGCTCCCTTGTCAGAAACTGAAGAACATACTTCATCATCATACTGCGCTGACACACAGACGGCCGCACAGCACATCTCACATGCAGAAACTTCAGTGTAGCAGACACAGGGTTGGCATGTTTATGAGTTCAGAGACGAGTGTGAGGCTGGAAGAGACACATAAATCGATTGAGCATATGCTGTACAAACAATGAATATAAGCGATATGCACTTCATTACTGTGATCCAACCACCTTGCGGTTGTTCAAACCCCCCCCC